CGCCCTGCAGGGTACGCCCCTGACCCCCACATCCTGCAGGGTGCGCCCCCGACCCCCACATCCTTCAGGGTGCGACCCCCCGCGTCCCCCGCCCGTGGCCTGCGGGCTGCGACCCCCGCCGTGCCTGACGCCCAGTCGCCTTGTTGTCCTGTCTCGCAGCTCGGCCGCTACTCCGCCCTGGTCCTCGGTGTGGCCTACGGAGCCAAGCGTTACAGTGAGTGCCGGGGCCGGCGGGCTGGGCGGCTCGGGCGCAGGGCGAGGGGTCGCAGCTACCAGCCTCTTCACGCAGCGTTTTCAGGGACGAGGTTAATCGAAGCCCCCACCCCTCCAGGTTACCTAAAACCCCGGGCAGAAGAGGAGAGGAGGGTAGCCGCGGAGGAGAAGAAGAGGCAGGATGAGCTGAAGCGGATCGAGAGAGAACGGGCCGAAGGTAGGAGCGAGCCTTAAGCTGCCCATCCCGTTTTTAGTGGAGGGAGGGGTGCCGCCTCTGGCCTGCCCTGTGGGGCGCAGCCCTGGAGAGTAGGCGTGCCGCTGGCTCCCCGCGTGCTGACCCCCGTAGGCTGAGTCTGGTCGAAGGGAGGAGAGGCCCAGGATCCATTTTAGTGAAGTGCAGTGGGGGTCCTTGGATTGGATTCTGGGTTAAAGTCTGAAGTTCTGAAGGGGCCTCTTAGGTTGCCTGAGTGTGTCTTTCCCAACCTTTCAGCCCAAGATGACAGCATACTGAAGTGAGGCTCTCCAGCCTGCCTCTCCCCAGCCCAGCAGATGAATAAAGCTTCCTCCTGCGTGATGTTTGGCTCCCTCTCATTACTGCTTCTCCAGTGGTTGGGTTCCTGGACTCTGCTCAGCAATTGTGCTGTCTTTTCCTCAGGGTGGGGCCTCTTAGAGGGGATTTTAAAGGGATAAGAGCATCACCCATTACTGACCCAGAACACAGCTTGCAAACAGCAACAAGTATAGAAATGGATACCTATTTTCTGGGGTGTTGAGGGTGTTGAGTAGTCAGTTCTAATGGAGCAGTCCCTAGAACTGCTCCGTGCTCTACCCTGCTTCTGCCAGCAGCCCAGGCTCCTGGACAGGCAAAAGAGGGATTGGAAGGTGGGTGGGGGTGCTGATGCAATTTTAAGTTGGAAGCTGGCTCTCCTCAAGTCACAATCCTTTCCTGTATTTCAAGGTGGCCAGGGCAACCTTGAGACAGAAGCCCAGGGAGGTGGTCTCTTAAAGGTGAGCCCTAACCTCCCCAGACTGGACTCCTGGCCACTGAGGCTGTGAGTTGGAGTTGGATGGGTGGGGTATTGCTGCTTCCCAGCTGTGTGCCAGGAGCCAATCCCTTAGGCAGAAAGCCTCAGTTTTTGTAAAGTGAATATATTTGTAAACATATGGAAATGGCTTACAAATGTTTCAGAAGCCTATATTTGGTTTTTGTGGGTGAACGAGCACTCCTACCCCCCAACCTTGAGCAGTGGTGTCCCAGCACCTGGGTCGTCAATGGTTGCTGTCCCAGGCTCCTGTCTGAGGCTGTCACCAGGTGTCACTGAGGTGAGATGAAAACTGGCTCCCTGCTGCAAGTAGGCAGATGGTCCCAAGGAGTGACCCTATCCTGCAGAGTACTGTCCAGTGGGGAACACACATGATGCTCACTGAGTTAGTAACCCTTGTTTTCTGCCAGATGATACTCACTTCAAAGTCAAGGCCCACTGGACTTTCTGCCTTTGCCGGTCCCCTAGTCCACCAATATTAAGTCATGAGAGGCAACAGTTCCTCCTTAAGACTCCCTGGTGCAGGGTCTGGGCCAGTAGAAGCTTGGCCTCAAGTCCAGCCTCCAGTGTTCATTACAGACCACTGCCATCAAGTCCAGCCTCCAGTGTTCATTACAGACCACTGCCATCTGACTGCGCTCTAGTCCTGGCCTTGAGCTTGCTGGCAGAGCTTTCAAGCACTCTGTGTCCTCCACAGTAACTACTGTGTAAAAATGGACAATTTGATCTGTGCTTTATTCTGAAATGTTGGGCGTGTTCTTCCTGAAGCAGGTGAGACAGGGACGCTACATTCCTGTATACACACATCCATGCAGTTCTGAATGTCCCCACTCAGCAATTTCAGACAGTTCACAGGCCCCTTTCAAAGATCTCTGTGGGAACTATTCAAAAAAGAGTGATGTAGGCTATACTCTAATAATTGAGAGTTTGCTTAAGTTTATTAAAAAAACCTTATAAAAATTCAAAATATTTCAAACTGTCTTCATTTTCTTGGCTTCCTAAGTTTTTACTCCAAAGTGCAGGAGGCAGAGCCCATGTTCCAGAGGTGAGGGCCTGGAGGAAGCTAGCAGTCCCCTAGACCAGGGCTTACAGGATACAGCAGGTGGAAGACTTGGGTGCTGGGTCACCATTGCAGATTTCTGTGCCCACTGTGAGAGAAAACAGGGTGAGTGGGGAGCCTTCGCCCTCCTGCTTTGTGTGCCCTCTCCCCTTCAGGGAAAGGGTGGAGTGCAGGTTTGGCCAGCCCAAGCAGGTTAAGTGGAGCTGAGCTGTTCTTAGTGCTTCACCTCTCTTGACACCACACCAAGATTGCTCTCAGTCCTGGTCTCCCACAACCTATGGCTGCCTTCTTCATGCTGGTTTACCCCGTGGCACAGCATGCAGGGAGTAACAAGGCCCAGACTAGGGAAGCCAGACAATGCATGGAGGCTCTGGTCTGGGTATGCTGACTTGTCATTGAGTCAGGCCCTGTGACAGGACTGTGGGCACTGCAGGACTAACTCCTGCGCGGCTCACTAGTTTTCAGTTTTGCTGTTTGGTTTCTGAGGGTGGCGTGGGCATGTGGGTGCAATTTACAAGCTACTTAGGGTTCGACTCCTTGGTGGTGGAAGGGAGCTGCTGAGAGTTCAGTTAGCCTGCTTCCCTTTACAAGGGCAGCAGCGCAGTTACTTGGAGAGACTTGAGCTCAGCCAGGAGCAATGAGACCCTCCTGGCTCTGTCACTGCACAGGTGACCTCCCTACTGTGGACGGCATCCCCCGTGGGGCCGCTGGGCATGCACCCTTCGTTTTCCTAAGTCTAACTGCTGTGAGGCTCTGCCACTCACAGCTTTGTCGGGGGTAAGCCGAGTCCCTGCCCCAGGCTGGCCAGGGCCCAGACCTTTCTTGGCTGCCACACTCTCTTCTTCCTCCTTCTTCTCCAGGGCCTTCATTTTGGCCTCGTGCTCATCAGCAAGTGCTTTCCACTCCTTCCTGTTGTTCTGTAGTCGGTCAAACATGGGCAGGATCTCTTCATGGAAACGGGAGAACTCCTGGAGGAAACAGAAGCCACATGTGTGTCCCCTCTGCTCCTGGAGGGCTAGGATGGTGGTCTCCCTGCCCAGCCCCTGTGGATGGAGTTGAGGAAGGCAGAGGGAGTCACCCTTGCTGGACTGTGACCTTTGGCCACTTTAAAAGGACATGTCCATGTTGACCCTGCTTGAGTGGCTGATCAGGGCCACTTCACCTAAAGCCAAATAGCACCCTTCTTAGAGAGGGGGGTGGGGCATTGGCTGGTCAGGGGGTCAGTCAGACCCCCACCAGGTCAGTGTCTTCCCAGTCCCTCCCTGTGTCCTCAGAGGCCCAAACAACAGAACTCAGGCCCAGCAGGGCTTTGGGTCCCTGGCCACTGGGCAGGAACATGGCTGCATTCCCATGTTCTGTAGGTCATGTGGGCAGGGCACACTAGCAGGGATGGGCAGACCCAGGCCCACTCCTGAGGGCTTACAGACACCCACAAAGGAACCCATAGGCAAGTAGCAGTCATTACCCTGAAGACAGGTGCCCACCATTGTGCAGGGCCCCACAGAGGCAAGGACCTGAGGAGAGACCTTGCGGGGTGGGTTGGGGGGACATTCTTGGTGCTTCTAAGGATGGTTGGTGGCAGGTCTCATCCCCAGTGCAGGCATGAGTACACGCCATGGCTGAGCAGGTGGGGGTGAGGCTGGGAGGGAGGTGCCCCCATGGGTTGCAGTCTGCACAAGCATTCCTCTTGCTGTGAGGTCACTGCTAGTCCCACCCACGCCCCCTGTGGGCTCCTGGCTGCTCTGTCAGTCAACACCCATGGTCCGGGGATTCCCACCTTGTACACAAACGTGCACACGAAGTCAATGAAGCCAACCTGCAGCTTGGGGAGCTCATCCGCCTTATTCCTGTCCATCATGGGCTTGTGGAGGAAGCAAAGACAGCTTACCCAGTGCCGTCTCCTCAGGCCCTTCAGGCCCCAGCCGGCACCCACCCCTACACTCTAGTGAACACATTCATGAGAGAGAATGAGCAGAGCCCAGGGGCAAAGGTGCAGCCCATAGAGGGCCAAGCTCAGCTACCAGAGCTGGCCTGGAAGCAGAGAGCCAAGATGCCCCTCCTTGTCAGCTGCCCAGGCTGCCCCTTCCTACTTCTGAGCCTCTGACCCTCATGTGGGATACTGCTGGTTCATCTAAAGGTCTTCTGTCCGCAGGGCACTGTCCCCAGTGTTGCCCTTATGCCCCAGCTGCTGGCCTGTCACTAAGCTGACCAGAACCCAGATGTGCTGTGGAGCCTGTACTTGGCATGCAGCCTGCTTCAGACAGCCATTTGCGCTGGTTGAATCTGGCTTTGGGATCAGACTTCCCATCTTGTGCCATGGGGCTGAGCAGGGTGGCCAGGAGCCATCCTGTGCTAGCAGTGTGTCCTGACCGCACTGCACGTACCTTTCTTGCACGGATGCTGGTCTAGCCCTGGACTCTCACCCCGGCTTTCCCTGCCCTACACTGTCCCTGGGGCCATCCTGCCTGGCCGGGGAACATCTGGGAGCTGCCTGTACTTGCAGTGGCTTCTGGTCCTGAGACCACCTCCATGCCCTGCACTCCACCTCACCAGAGGTGAAGCCATCCATTCTCATGTGGCACAACCACACACAGGTGGCAAAGACCTCAGAGTCCCTGTTCCCCAGCACTACAATGGGGTCTTGTCCCCTCATCAGGGCAGAAGCTTCTGGAAGCAACACTTACGATGGGCTGCTGATCCAAAACTGTCCTTTCCAAGTCACCTTGTTCCCAGAACTCGGCGGCCACCAGAAGAGCAACCTGGCGGCACACAAAGGCAGCGCAGTTGGTTCTGTGCTCTTGGGCCCTGCCCTAAGGCTGCACCCCAGCCTGGGCCCTCACAAAGGTGGCATGGTGCAGTTTCACCTGGAGCTCTCAGGCTCTGCTGTTTTAGGCACTAGGCACCCCCACTGCTGCACTCTGGCAGGCCCTGGCCGCCTTCAGCATGACTGCAAGCCACATTCTCCCCCCTCTGAGGCTCCCCAGATGCAGACCCAGGGGCCCTGGAAGGTGAGTTTGGGTCTGGCCAGCCAGGCCTGACCTTGCTCTGGACTTCCCAGGGCTTGGTGATGGCAGACAGGTCACAGGCAGTCATCATCATGGCCCTGCCGGCAGACAGAGCAGAGTCATGAGTTCTTGCTGGAGTCCTGGGCTCCTGAGACGGCCTGGGGAAGGCGCTAGTCCTGGGGCACCGGATGGAAGGTGAAGGAAGGGAAGCTGAGAGTGAAGTGAGGGTTGCTAAAGGCCAGAAACCAAGGACATCCCATTTGACCCTAGATCCTGCACTGGCTCCTCCAAACCCAGCAGTGCTGTCCCTGAGGGTCCTTTCCCGGGTCTGCAGGAGGGAGTGCGCTCACATGACTATCTCCTTCCGCGTCGTCTCCAGGGACAGGTACTCCACCCAGCTCTTCTTGTCTGTGTAGTTCTTGGACTCATCTACAATCTTCTGGAACATTGTCCTCTTCCTGAACACAGGAAGGAGGGGAGGGCAAATGGTGGCGAGTCCCACACCAACATGCCCCCCTCCCGCCCCTGCCATCCCGGGGTGGGGTGTGCACTTGAAGTAGAGGGCCAGGTCCGTGGCGATAATGGCGATGTCCATGAGGTGGATCACATGCTCATGCTGCCGCCGGTTCAGGTTCTGGTAGATGTTCAGGCTCTGCGAGTGTCAGTTGGTGCAGGGTCACTGTCAGGCTTGCACAGGGCCCTTGGCTGCAGCTCTCAGGCTGGGCACCTCCTCTGCCCCAGGCTCCTGTGTACTTTGCCAGGCTTATGCCTGCTCCTGCTCCTTGGGAGGGCAGCCCCCTTCCCTCCCAGCTTTCTGCCCTCCCTGTGGACACAGGGAGAAGCTCTGAGGCAGCTTCTGCTGTGGCTATAGGCTCTGGATCTAGAAGGCCTTGCACCTCACTTCACAGGGAGAGTCCTGGGCCCGTTGCCCTAGTACCCCAAAGCCCCAGGCCTGGCCCACTGGACACCAGCTGTGAACCTGTCCTGGCTCCTCACATACCACAGGTCTCTTGCAGCCAAACCCACCCTGACCCACCCAAGCCCTGTGGGTCCCAGGAGCCAGTGAGGGGCCAACCTCCTCTGCCAGCAGGAACTTCCCAAACTCCAGGTGGTGCCGCTCCAAGATGGAGGAGCCGTGAAGCTTGGCTAAGGGATTCTGGGATCTGTCACAGAGTGTATTCAAAACGCAAGCAGTCAGAAGGGCAGTGGGCCCGGCCAGCTGTGCAGATGACCCCAGGAGGGTGACCCACAGCTGTGCCAGGCACCTACTTCATCTGGTACAGGTTGTTGGTGCCTCGGTGGTCAATGTCATGGCACAGGCCTGCTGTGACCATGGCGAAGGCTTCCAGGTCAGTGTAGTAGCTTTTCAGCTTGCCTGTCTGTGGGGGCATGTCCATGCCTGGGTCCTGTTGCTGGCCCAGCTCCGTGCTCCAGTCAGGCCAGGGCAGGGGTATCTGTGGGCTGGACCCCCTCCTGCTCCCCTGCCTAGGGGCCCTCCGCCCACAGCTCGGCTGGGTAAGCACTGGCTGGAGGGTGTGGGCTGCCTCCTTCCCTTGGCCTAGGGAAGACTCCCACCCCAGGAACCAGGCAGGTGGGAATGGCTGTGGTGCCCTGCCCACCCTGCCCTGTCCACACACCATGAGCAGTGTGAACATGGTCTGGGCCACGTTGAAGCCGTGGCGCCAGTTGTGGTAGGTGATTCTCCGGTAGGCTTTGCTGACAGAGAACAGGAACCGCACCAGGACCTGGGGCAGAGGACATGCAGGTCTTTGATCAGCATTGAATCCCCAAACCTCATGTGTGAAGGCTGGTCCCCTGAGCCTCCCATCCCCCTAGTTCCCAGTGGAACTGACTGACCTTCTTGGGTACCTGCAGGGGTGGTGGGAAGCCTGAGCTGGGTGAGAAGAGCTAAGATTGGCTGCAGCCGTTAGGAGTTGGTGCCTTGGCCTATGGCCCAGCCCGAAACTGGGGAGGGGACCCTGGGGAGACCCTAAGAATCAATTTTAGGTGTGGATATTTGAATGGACCAGATATGTGGTCTGTGGACAGAAGGGAGGGACGCTGCAGGCAGTTATCATTGGGGCTCAGAGGAGCCTCTTGCTTCCCTTGTGATATTTAGGGTCAGAAAATTATTTGGGAATATTTTTATTCTGTTAGTATTTTCTATAAATTCTTCTTTTGTGTTTTCCCTTAGTATTTACTAAAGCTTTTTCCAAAAAAAGACAGCCTGTGGCTCCTGTTCTCTGAGGAGCATGAGGAAAGGTGATCGACTCCCTCATCTGGGCTGTGGGAAGCAGGTGTGGAGCTGGACGAAGGACAGAGCAAGAAAACTGCAGGTGGAGGAGAATCGTGGCCCAGAGCTGAGAGAGCCACCCCTTCCCCCCAGGGCCCGCCTGTGACCAAACCCAAGGGACACTAGGTACTTTCTTCTTGGGTGAGGAGCTGCTTCCATTCTGCACCCCACGCCAACTCACTACTGCTCAGGGATGCACCCAATGAAAAGGTTGCCTGGACTCTTACTAGTCAAACTTTCTGTCCATCCTCCCATCATCCATCTGTCCATCTGCCCACCCACCAACCATTCATCTACCATCCATACCCTCATCACTCATTGTGCATTCACCCACCCACCCACTGGCCCTTCCATTGTCCATACTCCATCCACCCACTCACCTACTTTTCCACTGGTCTGTCCATCAACCACCCCACCCCCCACATTCATTCATCCATCTGCCTATCCATTCATCTGTCCATCTATCTACCCAGTTTTCCATCCACCCTTCCATCCAGGCAGCCTCATCCACACATTCTCCATCTGTATACATCCATTCTCCATCTATCTATCTACCTATCCATTCATCTATTCTAGGCATACTTTGTGGTTTTACAAGAAAATGTCCCCAAAACTTCCTGGGACACTGATTACCACATTCTACTCACCTCCTGGAAGATCTGGGAGCCCCAACCACACCCCCCACCTCCTGGAGATCAGAGATCCTCAACCATGCCCTCCCACCTCCCAGGGGATTAGGGACCCTCAACCATGTCCCCACCTCCTGGGGGATCTGGAACTTGCGGACCACGCCCAGCTCATAGTACATCTGGATGCCACACTTGACCAGCTCCAGCTCAGTGCACTCCAGGTCAGAGAAGTGGAACTCATAGATGTCAAACTTGGTGGGCCCTGGCAGCTCTTCCTTCTGCAGGGGGGTTGTGAGCTGAGGGAGGCAGGCCCACCAGTCCTACTTGATCCCCATCCTTCCTCCTCTCAGAACCCTCTCTCCAGCTAGATGCCCTGGGCATCTCTAGTGTGATCTTCAGCCTGTGGCCTGGGATGCTCACATCCCCCTTACTCAGCCCGTCCTCCCTCTCCTCCCACCCAGCTGAGCAGACATAATGATGTCAGGGAGGCAAACTAGCAAACACAGAGATGTGTGCAGGAAAAGATAAGCACACATGGACAGAGGCAGGTAGACAGAGGCAGGTAGGCATAGGCACATATATGCAGACTCATGGCAGACACTTTCACACAAGCACAGGTGACACAGACACTGGGGACAGTCATAACTTGTCAAGAATGATCACATGCTCCAAGACCACACAGTGGTAAATCACACAGATGACAGAGCTGGAGGTGTCACACGACTGCCAGGGTGATCTGTGATGTTCTCTGGGAGACACACAATCATGTGTCTGTGTGTGCTGTGTGTGACTTGGTCYAAGTCATGCCTGCAGAGACTAAAGCGTGGACAGTTCTGGAAGCACAGAGGAGACAGGCAGGCATACAGATGCACTTGGCAGTGCAGATGTCAGGTCAGCCCCAGCTGGACTTGAGCTCAACACACTGGCCAAGAAAGATTCAGAGCCAGGGTCCTGTAGACAGATGTCTACTGAGGAGTGCAGACACACCCGACCACAGGCCCATGTAGATGGCAGCCGACATCCTGAGATGGCATCCTGTCCCAGGGGAACTCCTCTGCTGGCAGGAGCTACCAGCACCCACTGAGGAGCAGAGACAGGTCCTCACCAAGATTTTCCCCAGCTCATCCTCCTCACAGTCAGCAGGCTCCTTCCCCAGGCGTTCCCTCKTTGGCTAAAGGGAGCAACAGGCAGGTCATGGGAGAGAGAGATGGCACTGCTCTCACCCCTTGAGTGAGAGAGTGACCACATCACCTTCACACGTGAGCACACTGGACAAAGGGACCTCTGAATACTGATGGGCAGCCATCTCCTTGGGCCAGGGTACCCTCGATTCCAGACAGATAGGCACCCCCAGGGGAGGGAGCAGGTGCTTGAGAGCCCCAGTGTGTGTGACTGTGTACGTGTGCATGACTGTGTGTGTGTGTGTGTGTGTGTGTGTGTGTGTGTATGTGTGTCTGTGTGTGCATGTGTGCACCACTCACTCTCCTGCCTCTTGGCACTGATCTCAGCACTCTGCATGGATGACAGATGGAGCCTTGCGTGATAGGCTGGAGGGCATTTGGCACACCCATCCGCAGCTGAGCCCATGGCATTGGGCAGATCCTAGGGCTGGGCAGGCAGTATGTGGGTGCCAGGGCAGGTCCCAGGGCAGGTGCCAGGGCAAGTCCTGGGGGAGGTCCCTGGACAGGATCGGCAGTGTGTGGGTGCTGGTGCAAGTCCTGGGGCAGGTGCTGGGCTGGGCAGGCAGTGTGTGGGTGCAGAGGCAGGTTCCAGGGCTGGCTGGGCTGGCAGTGTGTGGGGCCCTGGCCTAGGCAGGCAGTATATGGATACTGGGGCAGGTCCTGGGGCAGGTGCCAGGCCAGTGCCTGGGGTCGGTATGTGTCCCCGGCTGGGCTGCCTGCCTCCCTGTGCAAAGGCACTGTGGAATGCAAGTTGCGGTACCAGTATCATCTGGATCTCGTCCTTGTCACATCTCACGTGGTATAGAACCATGTCCTGGGCGATGTCTCTGCGGTTCTCCAGCTTGTTCACCTTGTCGTAGGTGTCTGTGTTCAGCACCGACCAGCCCAGGAACTGTGTCAGCGACTGGAGACAGAAGAGCAGTGTCACCCACCTCTCCGAGCTCCCTGAGGAGCCCTGCTGACCATTCAGTGGGCACCTGCCGCACAGCTAGCGCCTTCCAGCTGGGCCTTCAGGGACAAGGCCTCGCAGTCTTCCCTTATCCGCACTCTCCCTGCCCTAGTGCTGGGGAGATGCCGAATGCAGGGAGGCACCCCACTTGCGGGCATGTCATACATCACGCAGGGCCCCCTCTGCTGGTTTACCTCCATGAGAACTTCATCCTGCTCGTCAAAGGGCTTCCCGTCTTTTCTGTTGTAGAAGGTCGCCACCCCCACAATCTCCTCCTTCTTGTTGACGATGGGCATGGAGAGCACATTCTTGATGACCCACCCAGAGTCATCCAAGGGCCCCTCCTGTAGGGGCATGAAGAGCTGAGGGTGGCCTTGGGTCTGGCCAGGGCCAGGCGTGTTGCCCAGGGAGAGAGCCTTATTTATGCCACCCTCAGGCCTGGAGCCAGGCTCCTTGCTGACTCTTCACCCCCCACCTTGTCTGAGGACTTGGTGTCTATGGTCTTTGTGTCATGATTTTTCCAACTAGAGGAGGGTATTTTCCCATGAGAGCTGGCTTCATGGGCATGTGAGGGTGGTAGTCCCACAGAAGCCCCTCTCAGAAGGCCCCAGGCTGCCCTGCTGTCGATGTTGTCCACAACTGCTGGACATGGGCCTCACACTTCCAGTTTGCACTGGGCCCTGAGTATCATGTAACTGGTCCTGTCTGCCGTCCCAAAGACACTGGGCTGGATGGTGGAATAGGGACTGTAGGCTGGTTCTTACAGGAGGCGTTGAGAGACACAGCATGCTCCCATCAGTCCATGTGACCTCCCCAGAAAGAGCCTGCCCTGCCCGTGGTCCCCAGATGAAGACATAGAGAGCAGAGAGGTGCTTGCTGGGGCTCAGCCTGGCCCAGCTGAACCCACATAGCCCATCCAGTGAGCCCAGACAGGATCACATGGCCCCACGTGAGCCCAGGCAGGATTGGCTGAGCCCTGCGGAGCCTAGACAAGACCAACAGAACCTCAGCAGAGCCCAGCCCACCTGCAGATCTGAGAGCACAAATACATGCTTCTCATCAGCCACTAGGACTGAAGCAGTTTTTTAAACAGCAAGAACTAAGTCAGCCTATCATTTTTGAACTAAAATGTTTTCTTTCCTAAGTGAAACACACACTTTCCATCAATGACTAGACAGATACCTGAAACTTGAACATTTCATCAGTGGAGGTGTTCATGATGTTACAGATCTGGAAAAGGATCAGAATTGGTGTCACTTGGAGCAGATGCATGCACACTGATTCTGACAGCACTCACCAGCCCAGCCTTGCTTGAGAGAGGTGAACTTCTTAACTCAGCAAAGCAAAAGGGTGGCAGGAGGGACAGGGGTGGGGGAGGCAGGGTGTGCAAGCATCAAACACCAGCAGGCACAGGTCTGGGTCCAGGGTTACGGCACTCACAAAGCCACTTTCTGCCACATAGGTTGGAAGGCCGCTGGCCAGGGCCCAATGATCATCTGGGGGTGTGCTGGGGGAGGGAAGCAAAGGATCAGATGGATAGACACTTGAGTTTTTGGTTGTGAAGGCAAGTGACTGTTCACATCATGCCCTTCTCTGAGCTCAGGTGGAGGTGGGGATGGGGCTGGGAACCTGGTGAGAACTGGAGGAGGCCAGAGGATGAGGCTCGTCTCACTCTGTCATGCTGGGGACTCTCACTCTGCAAGGACTGCTCCCCGTGCAGAGGAGCTATGCATAGCTCTCAAGCTGTGACTTCAGTTGACCTCCTGGGACTCAGTGTCAGCCACCTGTCCTGCAGTCCTGGCCAAAATTACCTGGGCCTGGTACCCAGATCCTTGTGCCTGCTTGGAGCCTGGGGTGGGGTCTTGTCAGGCCTATGAGTCATAGGGTCACTGACCACACAGTGTAGGAGTGAAGAGGGCACCCCCTCCCCAGTCCCTCTAGCTCTGTACTGAACTTCTTGAGGGTGAGAGGCCAACCTTACCTCTGGGGCTCCATCTGAGACCGCTGGGCTGGCCAACCAAGAGACCCTTCACACTGACCTCTAAGCCACCTACACAGCTTACCTGATCCCACTGAATGCCTACTCTGGATGTCCAAGTGCTCAGTCTGGCCACTCCCTCCTCACCTCCCAGGTCCCTCCACGCTGGCTCTGAACAGGGAGGCAGCTGCCCTGCCCAAGTTTCAGGGCCACAGGCCAGGTGGGAACTCATTGCTCCAAAGGCTGGGCCTGATCTGGGGGCCCCACTGATGGTGATGCTGCAAGAACCCGGCACTTACGGAATGACCTTGATGTCCTCCTTGCCGTGGAGGATGTAGTCGATGACTTTGTAGAAGACGATTTCCTGAGAACCAGAACACAACAGGGTGGGGTCCTGGCCCAGCTCCTAGAGAGGGGAGGGAGCCAACACCCTTCCCAGCCAGGCATGTGCACAGCACACACAGGTGACAGGTACACACATCCACAGACACATGCCCCAAGCAAGTGTCTCACTTTCACATGCCCGCACCTGGCTGGACCCTGAACAACACTTGGCCACATGTGTGCCTGTGTCTTATGAGGGGACATGCTGGTGAAGCCACCCCACCCTGGGGCAGGCAGGCTGCAGTGGGGAGATGGCAGACAGGCAGGCGGGTCGGAGTCCCCTGCCTCACTTCCCTCTGGAGTCGGAGCCAGGGAATCCAAGCTATGAGCTGGGTGTGGCCCTGCCACCACCACTCACCCGGCCATCGGGTGTGCGTGGGCCTGAGTATGGCTGGGCTTCTCCCATCAGTACAGGCCACACATCAAAAAATTCCTGGGCAGAGGAGAAGAGAGGAGASAGTCATCCTGGAGCTGGGTCAGGCTGGGCAGGAGGGCTCCCGAGAGCACCAGACCTCACCTTCTCCTTGGTCATGTCCAGGAGGCCCACAGAGTACCGGTCACAGTTGAGATAAGCCCGCACTGTGTAGAAGGCCTTGTGGAACTGCCTCTCGATGTCTGTCAGCTCCTCAAACACCTTGTTGGCTGACCAGAGCAGCACCTGGAGAGGGTGGCACACCTATGGACCTGCAGACCCCAGCTGTCTGGCCATGGCAGACTGGGGTCGACTCATACCTGGTACACAGAAGCACAMGGACACCTGACCACAGAGCCTGGGAGGACACTGATCCCTGTATGCAACCCAGGGTTTCATCTGAGCATAGGACTCTGTTTCCTGACCCAGAGGCACCATAGGGTGACAAGGTCTCTGGGTTTTGGTCATGCCATGCACTGCCCAGCTTTGGCCTCACATTTGGTTAATGAGTGAAACTTCAGAGGCAGGAGAGAGTGAAATTTGAAATTAATTGCTTTTGGCTTACAAGGCAAAAATCTGATGGCTGTGCCTCCCGCTGCCTACTCTGCAGTTGGCCTTGGGGAGGCTGGGGTTTGAAGATGTAAAGTCACTGGACAAGTGCCTGTGTCTCAGCACAGGGGAGATGGGTTGCTGATATGTTCCCTCTGAGAATGATTGCTTGGCCTCTGGCTCCCTTCCTCAGCCCAGCCTGCATGGTTCAGAGATGTGGGTGAAGCCTGGCTCCCAACGTCCTTCACACTACGCATCTCAGCCTCCTTATTATCTGTGAAGGTGCCTGGGTGTCTCCTCTCCCCAGCGCTCAGCCTTTGCTACACGGGCTCCGCTGTGTCCAGGGATGCCCGTGCCTCCCACACTCAGCCCCCTGCACCAGGACTGCTAGTCAACAGCCCTTGGCTCCATAGCCAGCTCTCCCACCCTCTGAAGCTAAGTGTGACCTCCTTCCACCTGTCCCCATCACACTCAGTCACAGCCACAGGAGTGAAGGAAACATGGATTCCTGCAGCACTGACAGGCAACTGAGGGATGAGTCCAACCACCCACCCCAAAGTTCACAGGGGAGAATGCAGATACCCTGTGCACTGAGGAGAAGGACACACCACCACCCACGGGAAGACAGACATGCCAGTCCACTGTGCTGGTGGGGACACTAGGAGGAGGCGCTCTGGTTGCCTCTCACTCCCAGAGCGGTGAGGGAGACAAGTGCAAAGGGACTCTGCACCCTGGGGAGGGCACCACCCCTCTCCCCTGCCCTGGAGGCAAGGAGATGTTCCACCTGCAGCTTCCTCCTGTCCAGGGCACCCCCATGCTCAGCCATGTGCGATCCTCTCCCTCTCCTCAGGGGCAGTCAGTGCTGCATGTCCCACCTCCTCTGGAGGGAGGTCACTCCTTCCATCAGCCCCCCTCCTCTTTCTCAAACAGTTCTTCTGTGTGCCTTCCGGGATCCCACCCAGGAGCCACAATCCCCTCACCCATGCCTCCTGCTCTTCTCATGGGGTGATGGTGCTGACCCTCTGCCTCCAGCATCTCCCAGGCTTGCTTCCTCTTGCCTCTGGCTGTGACCAACTGATCTGCCTCATCCATGGCTCTCTGGCCTCGACTGCTCCAGTACCATCCCCTTGGTGCCCTGCTGCCCTGGTGCCTGCTGCAGGCACAGGCCTGATCAGTCCAGTCCTAGGGTAGTGAGTCTAGATGAAGACTTTTTCTAGCAGTTGAATATGAAGCACTCTCTTGTAGCTACAGCGCCTACTGTTCTGTCGAATCTTGTTGCGGTGACAGATGTGTCAGAATGTCAGGTGCATTTTTACTGTGCATCTGACCCTTCATGGATGGCTATGGGAAATGGGCTCCTGGAACCTGGCCCCACCCCCACCGCTCCACAGGGAGGGGCTTTGCTGACATGGCCCCACCCACCTTCCCCCTAGCTGGACTTGTATGTAGGGACTGCTCCCACCCCATTTGGGGCTCTGCATAGGCTCTGCCTCCATCCTCAGAGCCCTGTGCCAGGGCTTTTCATTCTGTTGTTTCAGCCTGATTTCCCCAGGGCCTCCCTGATGATCCCCTGGTGCTCCCCCACAGCACCTGTCCCAGCATGGGGGTGCTGGACAGGAGGAAGCTGCAGGTGGAATACCTCCTTGCCCGGGGGGGGGGGGGGCAGGGGTTAGGGCTGGTGCCCCACAGGGTGCCTCTCTGTGGTCTCCCACTAGGCCGCATTTCCATGGAGTCAGGATGCGTGGTTTGTTCATGGCCAGAGCAGGCCTCACACTCAGTGCCTGGAGGCAGGTGCTGCCTGAGTGGAAGGGTAATGCAGCAGCTCTAGGGCCAGCAGCCTGAGTCCAGGTGCTTGTAGCAGCAGCTCCCGCGTGGCTGTCTGCACAGGCCTTAGAAGATGGGGTGGTCAGCCGCCTGCTGCCAGAGAATCTTGGCCCTGGGGAGGAGAGCCTCCAGCAGAACTCCGTCCAAGAGCTGACCCTTTCCCTGATGGCAGGGGTCAGGATGTAGCGCTGCCTCCAGCTGGCTGTGTGCCTCAGAAGGCTTCCTGGCTCTGGCCGGTCCCCTGGTGTAAAACCCACAGTGGTGATGTGCTCTCAGGATGCTGGGAGGATCTAGCCAGCCTTCCAGGTCGCCTGACTCAGGAGTCCAGTGTGGACCTAAGAGTGTGTGAGTCGCTGTGTGTCTGTCCCCTGAGCTTCCAGGCCAGGACCACACCTGCACAGGTGTCCACAGGTGCCAGCCATAGCGTTGACTCTCCTGTTGGAGTAAGCTGGGCCTGGCTGCATGTCTGACTTTGGAGCCACTGGCTGTCAGTCCCCCAGGTGTGTTCCCACAGGGAGAGGGATAGATGGAGCTCACACTGCAGGTAAGGGCCAGACTTCTCTCCCACCCCTGTGCAGGGTCTCCTGTCACCCACACTCTCTCCTGCTCCCTGCTGCCACCAGCACCACCTTTGTTCACCAGCGTCATTTCCTACAGCCAGGGAGCAGGTGCCCAGTGAGGGAGGCCACCTGTCCAAGTGGTCTGAACCCAGGCAGCCTGCCCCCGGCCTCTGCCTCACCCTCCTTGCTTTTGTCTGACTTTCCAGGTGGTGCCTGGTGCACACAATGAGGGAGGTGCAGCTTCTCCCTTCAGAGCACAGCTGGCACATCTACACACGTTTTCCACTGCCCATGACTGACCGAGTGCACGAGGAACTTCATCTTAGCCACTGCATGTGCAGCACCTTCTGTGAGGTCTTCCTGGGGAGCTGTCACCAGGTGGCCCCTCTCCCCCTGCTGGGGGACACTGCCTGCTAGGAGTTCAGCATCTCAGTCCTGTGTGAGTTTTGCGCTCCTCTGTGTCTGCACAGCCTTGATCCAGTCCTCTGATTCCCCATACCAGCCTCTCTGTCCTGGTGTCTCCGGGATGAGGCGTGTCTTCACCCATGCTCCTTGGCTGACTGCAGGAGAGGTCTGCCTGAGCCCGGTGCCAGGGACTGCCAGTCTCAGGAGGGTGAGGCATTCGAGCCTCAGCTTTTTTCAAGGATGCTTTGAACCCACATTCTTATTGCTTGACTTCAAAAGGTAGGAAACTTTCCCCATTTTCTTCTTCTTCTTTTATAATTTCAAGTCTGTGATCCATTTGAGTTGATTCTTGTATAAGAGCTGAGAAGGCTCATTTTCATTTCTCTGCATGTGGATAGCCAGTTTTCCTGGCACCATTTATTTCCATGTTGTATGTTCTTAGCATCTTTTTTGAAAACCAATCAATTTGGGTTTATTTCTGGACTCCTATTCCATTGGATGTGTTTATGTTGGCAGCATGCTGTTCTGATTACAATGTAATCAGCTTTGTAAGACATTCAGAAATCTGGGAGGGTGATACCTCCACTTTTGTTCTTTTCAGTCAGGCTTGCTTTGGCTATCTGTGGTCTTTTGTGGTTTCATGTGAGTTGTAGGGTTGTTTTTCTATTTCTATGGAGAATGACATTAAAATTTTGAAGTAGATTGAATTGAATCTATAGATTGCTTTGGATAACAGACATTTAAACTATGTTAATTCTTCCAACCCATGAACATGTGATGTCTTTCCATTTATTTGTGTTCAATATTTTTCATCAATGTTTTATAGTTTCCAATATGCAGATTTTTCACTTTTTTGGTTAAAATCATCCCTGAATATTTTTGGATGCTATTGGAAATTAAATTGTTTCCTTAATTTCTTTTACAGTGTACTTTTATAAGTTGATTTTGTATCCTGCAAAATTTCTGAATTTGTTTATCAGTTCTAACAGTCTACATGACATAGGTCTGTAAAGGGTTTTGTCTTTTCTTTTTTTTTGCATGTACTAAAATAGTATAGGCTACAGAATAAAAATAGAGATATAGGACTTTACCAAATTCCAAATTAAAAAGTCCCTTTCTCAAGAGAAGATGTACAAATGGCCAACCTATATATGAGAAAATGCTCAACACCTCTAGTCAGATGCAAATTAAAACAACARTGAGATATCACCATTTGTCGAACTGGCTATTTTGAAAATATGAAAGATAAGTGCTGATGAGGATTCAGGAAAAGGGAGCTGACACATTATTAATGGAAATGCAGATCAGGACAGCTGTTTAGAATTCAAGGCAGAGGTTCCTAAAACACTGAAAGGGAAGTACTATATGATCCAGCAATCCCATTTCTGGGTATTTACCGAAAAGACTTGAGTCAGTATGTTGAAGGGATGCAGCACTGTTCATGGTAGCTAAGAAATGGAACCCACCTCTGTGTCACAGGTGAAACCCTGAGTGAAATGGGTTCAGGGACAGATGCTGCACCATCTTGCTCATGTGGAATCTGGGAAGGCTGAGCTCAGCCAAGTGGAGAGCTGGGTGGGTGGGGTGGGGGGAAGCAGGGCTGTAGCACAGGTTCCAGTTCCTGGGAGCAGTGGCTCAGGTGGTGCTTCTTAGAGCCGGTGGCTGATCCCTCAGTGAGCCCTGCAGGTTTCAACACAGCGAGGTGGATTCCACATGTCCTCTCCCAGAAGAAGCAGGGAGTATCTGAGGTGGTGGATGTGCTAGTTGGCCTGGCCCTTCACTCCTCAACGAGAGTATGGAAGTAGCACGTGAACCACAGGTGTGCAGTTGACTTGTCAACCAAAAGACAAGTCTTAAGAAAATGTTGGAAATGTTCAATCAAGTGCAGCACCAGGGAGGACAAGGG